AGTGGTACAAGCAGGCATCAGCTCCTCAGGATTAATAATATCAGCAACACACAGCACCAGTCCAAACCACGGCAGCAACACTGTAAGCTTAAGCATCATTCTCTGTAAGCAGGGCAAAGACACAGGAGGAGGACACTAATCTAAAGGCGTTTCATCCACCCAATACACTCAGAACACCAGTTCAGCTATGGGAGTATTAGAAAGACGCAGGGAGCTGCCATGCTGCTTCCCACCCACCCTGTGCAGTCCAGGGACAGTCAAACTCAGAGCCTTAGTTAGCCTTGCTGCCTTCCACGGTGCCGCAGCTATGCAATGCTGGAAGCCGCCATGCTGAGAGCCAGGCTCTGTTGCCTTCTTTACTCAATGACATCTGTCTGCACAGAAGAGATGGGACACTCAGGGACATCCTGCTGCCATGGGAGCAGTGGTAGTGGCTTCAGCGGCAGCAGTAGGCATCCTAAACGATGCACCTGAAGGAAGCTTCCACCTGAAGGAAGCTTAGTAGGTCATCAGAGACAAGGCTACTCACCCAAGTTTTCAAGGGAACTTGGTCCCCTTGGGACTGCTTTGGGACTTGGTCCAGGAGGAAACACAAGCCTAGAAACCAGAGAGGAGGAAGACACTCATCTAGTAGGCAGGATGGAGGAAGGGGATTTGGGGAGGGCCACCCACCAAGGACTCCCCTTCATACCATGTGGGTACACCAACCTCAACAAGGTGGAGGTGGAGCACAGTCACTCTTACTTGTACGGGCAGGCAGATCCCCAGCACAGCTGTAGGTGGCTCCAGAGGTATCAGGAGGCAGACTGGGCTGGCTTTTATCCCCGTTCAGCTCTCCCACACTGGGAGGAGCAGGACCCAGGTCCTGACACCTGATCACTCCAGACCAGTCTCTGGATCAGAGACAGAGCAGGGGTGTGGCCTGGAATAAGGGCCCAGCCAGCCTTCTGCCCACACCCACCAATTACCCACATGTGTCCCTACTCCAGGGCCCAACATGGGCCCCATGGAAAAGGTCCTTATCTAACTGCCCAGATTAAAACCTGGGCTGGGCCTGGCTCTCCACTCAATCAGAAGCATAGAAACAGCTAGAGAAGCCCAAAGATGGGGCCCCAGAGGGAAGGTAGAGGAGTCTCTTTCTCCACAAACTAGTGAAGGACAGGGGCTCCTCACAGGCCTTCTCTCTGCTCCCTGGCCATTAGCCTGGGAGCCATGTCTAGAAAAGCCATTGCTCAACAGCACTGAACAGCCTGGCCTCTGGAGGCTGGGCAGCCACTAAAAGGCTTTGCAGTGAACATGGCAAAAGGCCAAAGCCAAGTGCCCCTGGACCACAGGTGAACGAACCAGCAGGGGGACGGGTGTAGCTATCCTGGGGCTTGAAGACCACAGGGAGAGACAGAAATGGAAGCAAGCAGTCCTCAGGACGGAGTCCCTTCAGTACAGAGAACAGCTGCCCACTCCCCCTATCCCCACCTACTCTGCCACATGGAGCACTCCTGGGAGGGAATCCTGCTCTTCAAGGCACAGACACTGGGCTGTGAGATGAGAAACAAGCACTTTTTGGTCGTGGTCCCCAGTTTTTCATGACGCTTGACAGTACAGCACCTTATAGCACTTGATTCCTGGTTTAGAAAGAAGTTCCTAACTGGTTCCTTCAGTCATGCTATGACATGATAATGAGTGCTCTAGTGAGCCATCACTATAGCCTTGGGCTTGGGCTGGTGACCAGAGAGACCATGTGATCAGAGGGCTGATAAATTACACTGAACATGATAGAAGAGAAAGTGGGGAATACCCATGAAGGCATTGGCACAGGAGACAACTTCCTGAACAGAGTACCAATAGCATAGACACTGAGATCAACAACTAATAAATGGAACCTCATGAAATTGAAAAGCTTCTGTAAGGCAAAGCATACCATCAATAGGACAACATGGCAGCCCACAGAATGGGAAAAGATTTTTACCAACTCCACAGATGATAGATGGCTAATATCCAAAATATATAAAGAACTCAAGGAAATAGATATCAACAAACCAAATAATCCAATTGAAGAACGAAGTACAGAACTAAACAGAGAATTCTCAACAGAGGAATCACAAATGGCTGGGAAACACTTAAATGTTCAACACCCTTAACCGATCAGGGAAATATAGATCAAAACTACTTTGAGATTCTATCTTACACCTGTCAGAATGGCTAAGATCAATAACACCAGTAACAGCTCAAGTTGGAGAGGATGTAGAGTAAGGGGAACACTCCTCCATGGCTGGTGGGGGTGCAAACTTGTGGAAATCAATATGGCGGTTCCTCAGGAAATTGGGGATTGATCTACCTCAAGATCCAGCTATGCCACTCTTGGTCATCTACCCAAAGGATGCTCTGTCCTTCCACAGGACACTTGTTCAACTGTGTTCATAGTGGCTTTATTCCTAATAGACAGAAACTTAAAACAGCCTAGATGTCCCTCAACCAAAGAATGGATAAAGAAAATGTGATACATTTACACAATGGGATATTACTTGGCTGTTAAAAAAAAAAAAATGACATCATGAAATTCCCAGGCAAATGGATGGAACTAGAAAAAAAATCATCCCAAGTGAAGTAACCCAGACCCAGAAAGACAAACATGGTGTGTACTCACTCATAAGTGGATATCGATATTAGCTGCTAAGTAAAGGATAATCACACTACAATCCATAGACCCAGAGAGGCTATGTAACAAAAAGGGCTCTAGGGGTGATGCATGGATCTCCCCAAGAAGGGGAAACAGAGTAGATTTTGTGAATGGACTGGTGGCGAGTAATAGGAAGGATCAGGTAGGGGGAGCAGAGGGAGAGTACAAGAGGAGATGAGTGGAATTGGAGGGCATTTGGGGGGGGGGGTGATGCAGAAACCTAGTGCAGTGGAAACTCCCTGGAACCTACAAGAGTCATCCTAGAGAGGTCGCCTAGTAATGGAGGGTACAGCGCCTGAACCATCCACTTTCTGTAACCAGGCAAGGCTTCCAGTAGTGGGACAGGGTCACCAACCCAGCCACAAAATCTTCCACCCATGTTCTGTCCTCCCTGCAAGATAAGCTGAGGCAAAGGTGATACAGATGTTGAGTGATCTAATTTGAGGCCCATGCCACAAGAGGGAGCCCATGCCCAACACTGCCTGGATGACCAGGACCTGGAGGCTGAATAGCCTAGAGACCTATAGTAGAACCAGACACATCCGGGGGGGAAAAAAAACAATGAAATGATTTCTAATGATGCTCTGCTATACTCATAGGTGAGTGCCTAAACCAGTCATCATCAGAGAGGCAGCCTCTGGCAGCTGATGGGAATAGATTCGGAGACCCCATAGCCCAACATTAGGCAAAGAATTGTGGGGATCAGAGGGGTCGAGGACACTGGGAGAGCATGGCCCGTGGAATCAATTAAGCAGGCCTCATGGGAGCTCACAGAGCTGAAGCGGCAACCATGGAGCCTGCACGGGTCTACCCTAGAGCCTCTACATATGTGCTGTGGTTGTTGGCTTGGTGTTTGGGGTTCTCCTGACAGGGTGAATGGGGTGTCTCTGACTCTTTTGCCTGCTCCTGGGGCCCTTTTCTGGGGAGGAGATTCGTGGGGTAGGGGAGAGAGGAGGAGTGCAGGGACTGGGAGGGGGGAAGCTGCAGTTGGGATGCACTGTATAGAGAAGAATAAAAATCTTAAAGGGTTTATTAACTTTTATTTTATGTGTGTTTCCATGTGTCTATATGTGCTCACCATGTGCGTGCAGTGCCCACAGAGGCCAGAAGAGAGTGTCAGGTCCCCTGGTACTGGAGTTACTGTGAGCCACGTGGGGGCTGGGAACTGAACCCAGGTCCTCTGCAAGAGCAGCAAGGGCTCTTAACCACTGAGCCATCCCTCCAGCTCCCTAGACTTCTTTTACTAGAACAAAAATGTCTGCAAGAGGTCCCAATAGCAGAGATTACGAGACAGGTGATTTCCCATAAGTCCACCAGTATATCCAAACACCATTTCCTAGAGGCAGAAAAAGACATTCCCCAGAGCCTCTAGGTACATGGGACCTGAATGGGAGCACACCACTGTTCTGGGGCAGTGGCAGGGTTCAGTAGGCCCTGCCCTGCCCCCCCCTCCCCGGCTGAGAGGCCTATCTCAAGTCCACAGTTGTGGGGGCCTACCTTCCTCATTCATTGAATTACATCAGCAGCAGAGCAATGGTCAGGGCAAAGGCAGAGACAGTAGCAGTGTCATTAGCACAAACATTGAAGGGACAGCTCAGAAAACAGTTTCTCTTTAAAAACATATAGTTGGCACCTTCTCTCCTTTTCCTGTCTGCTCTGGTGGAACTGTCCTGGGCCCCAGGGGGCCAAGCGCTCAGCTCCAACCCTAGCCCCAGCCCTGTTACTAGACTTTGAAATGAATGCTTGAATCCATGTCTGTAAGAGTCCTCTGCTAGCTCCCATGAGACAGCTTCAGTAACAGGGTTCCCAGCATAGCACTCCAACCTTCTGGAGGGGTCAGCCCCCATGGCAAGCTTGGTTGTACGTGTGTTATATAGGAGGTTAGCTGCATCCTTGCATCCTTGGCTCCACCCATAGGGTGCCAGTGTCCTGGTACCGCCCTCCTACAGTGCCAAATAAAACCACCTCCTAACACTGCCAAATGGACTTAGCCTGGCTGAGAAGAACGAT